AGTGCATCGGTTCGATGCATTTTTCTCGTGAAAATGCATTAATTTGATTCTGCATGTATAGGTCAGGTATATTATGCGCTTCTGCCGCATTGAACACTTCGTGATGAACTTCAGCCACATCGAAATTTGTCTTGCATGTCCTATTGTGGGAATATGGTGGCTTTTGAGTTTAAAGCCCGAATACACGAAACTCATTTAGGGGAGACAACGGGGCTTTTAGCGAAGGAGCTCTTTTTCTCCCATAGGAATCCATGTATTCTTAAAGGACTGTTAAATATCCATAGTTAACAGTCGGATCTCATATTGGCGATAAGTGTTACACCACCAACGCACCAAACAGAATACAAACAACGTATGAAACTGGACTCAAAGAATGAAGCAAGCGGTTACATGGGAATCCCTTCGAGACGCACGAGCTACTCGCACGGGTCGGAGGGAAGGTGAAGTGGCGAAGAGACCATGCACTTAGGCCATTACGTGTGAATCCTTCGACTGTCAATGCATTGCCCCGAGGGTTGATGGGGGAGGGAGGGGGGCTTCCTCGACACGATGAAGTGGAATACGGAGGTTAACATGTGTCTAGACGATGCGCAGCCACTCAAAACGCCCTTCCGACTCGGCTATAGACGCATTTTGGTTTTTCGAATGCCTTTCAGGCGACCCTGCACGGTCGGGAAGCGAGAGATATGAATCGAAAATCCAGTTGATGTCTTTTTCTCTTGAGAAAAGTAAATCGAAACGTGAAAATTGAGAGAAGTATTTCATCTCGATTTACCGATTTCTCTGAGTGTACTCGCTCGAACGAAGGTTAAGGAGGGGCGATCTCATCCAGGCTTTCAAGATAATTAAAGGAATAGATAATGTCGAGTGTGGTAGGTTTTTCCAGTTTAGTGACAGCAAGAGAACGAGAGGTAACCGACTTAAGTTGGGCAAGCCGCAGATGCGGCTCAGGTCGAGACAGGAATTCTTTACTTGCAGAGTGGTGAACGCGTGGAATGCGTTAGATGACGAAGTAGTGGCTGCCCCGCGCTGTGACTATCTTTAAGAAGAAACTGGATGCTTTCATGGACAGGCAAAAAGATGGAGGGCAATGTTGACGTTAGGGACTAGACAGTAAACAACTAGGATAGTGAAATAACAAAAAAGCGCTACAAAATAAAAAAACAAAAATATATATAGCTTCAAGAGGGTTAGGCCTACCCTAAAATTAAGGAACGCTCGACCTCCACACATGATATCGAAATGGGCGAAATCGCCTCTTGATGTCACTAACTATCTTGAATCAATGCCGAAAAGGGAGGTGTCAGAGCAGGTGTATATCATTGACGGGAATTGCCCTAGGGCGAGAACCGCCATTATTCGGGGCTTGGCTTTCGGCCCAACCTCATCTACTCCTTCTAATTTGGGGTGAAATGTAAAGCACGGGAGCCCTCACGGGTTCATACATTGGTGCTTAGAGGAAAATGCAGTGGTTGGTATGCAAGAACGTACAAAACTGCTATAAATAGCCATTTTGAGGGTATCATATGATAAGTTTGATAGGTTTGATAGTTGGCCATATGCAGAAACATTTTATACCTATCATGATCGGCATGGGAATCGCTTCAATCTATTATGATCTAGATCTTGCTTATTCTGCTTATAACGAGCTACCAGGGTGGATGCAATGCATTTTGCTAAACTGATTAATTATGCAAATCGTCGCAACCTGTGCCGAGCGCAGCCACTCTGGGATAGATTAGAGGATTTAGTATCAAGCTACGGCAATCGGAGTTCGAGCACTAGTCTGGTAAATGGGGTCAGATTAATACCAATAAATCATCACACAACACTCTGAGCAGTCATAATGCGAGCAGATACTCATGGCATTGTTTCTGGGTGCAATACGATGGATAGGAGGTTGTCAACTGGAAGCTTCACGAATTCCTATCATGATTCCTCTGAATGCGAGTGAAGATGCATGTAAACGCTCTTCCTTCTGTACTCAAACGTAAGCGGAGGCGTGTTGACTCACATGTAGCATCCATGACAAAATCACACGCGTCAGACGCAACGTGTGGAAGGCTCGTAGACATAGGAGGACGCAGATCCATCATAAATCTTTTTGGACGCGAATGTCCACTTTGCTTTTCTGGCGTTGAACTCGCCCTGAAACAGTCGGTACTCCTGTCGACTCCGGTTGACTCACCCTTGGGTGCTCGCTCTAGACCGTCAGAGCATAAAATTGCCTTTGGTTTCTTGCATATTTCATGAGCCCTTGATTCGATTTGACTTATTGCCCTCTAATCGAACTTCCTGCTGCCGTCAACTCTCAATCTGCATAGCATAATAGAGACTCTTCATCAGTCATTCTCCGGCACATCGGTACTTTATGAGACTCCAAAAAGGTCAATATTTCTGGGAATATACTTGGACCCAATTGAAGGACGAAATCGAGAAATTCGTGTATCTCCCTCCAAGTTGTCGGAGGGAAAAGATCTGGTATCTCATTACAATGATTGGGAAGTGAGTCACCTCCTGACACCGCCGAAATAGCGACTACCGATGTGCCGTCTCGTGTCACTTGTCTGAAATTTAATTTTTTCCATTTTCCATCACGCATAGCCTGCCAACATATTAAAAATCTTTTCCTGCCGCTCTAGCACCGATGTGTCACATGCGCAGTCATTACGCTGCTACTTCATGATAGTCCACACGCAGAAAATACCACACGCCCAGCGAGGCGTGCTGCCTGTATATTTTCGTAGAATGCGTAGATGAATTAAATAAGTTTTATCAGTAAAGTTCTAATATCCAACAGCAATGGAGTTTGTTTATTTTTTTACGTCATCTTTTCTCATTTGAAACGGTCCCAAAATGTCAGTCCTAGCTTCCGTCGTCTAAAAATGACAAGACTCAGGCTTTCATTGGGAGGCCAACATCTTATCATGTTGACTCTTCAACCCAAGATAAAGCCACTCGACCTGAAGGACCCCCTGCGACCAGAAGGACATCCCCGAATCACATCCCAGAGTGGCTTGTGAGATGATTCAGCTCGTAGGAAGGCAAATGAAGAGCACTGCTTCCGTGGGGCACACCAAGGCTTTCAGTGCCTTCTTCCTCTCCCTGCTCCCTCTGCTCTTCAGCGTCAGTGAGTCTTGTGGGACTTCTGATTCCGCCTCTCGTACATAAGTTCAACGTTTGGTTGAATGATTCTCAATCCAGCTTCTCTTCCATTTTAGACCGCTTAAATTTGGAGTATTATATCAAAAAACGTTTACTTTAATCCGCGTTGATTTGAACAGTTCTCAGGGAAAACCTATAGCACGAGAAATAATTCAAGAGCAGCGGGCAGAAGAGACAAGCCATGCGAGGTTTTGATGGATTCGCTTCCTCAGCTTAAAAAGCCAGTATTTTCCCAAATGACTTAATGACATCATAAATAACACAGATTCTAAGGACATCTCATTACTCCGCCAAGGAATAACGTCGAATCAATTTTTATCTTGAGGCTCCTAATAACATCAAGGGATGGATATCTGATTGGAAAGAAAGTTCTAGGAATTTCATGAACAATTATTAAAACCCAGTTTATTTAAAAGCAAATTCATCTCACTTATGAATGCAATCACCATTGGCCTCTATCACTTCACGCCAACGTTTATGCAAACTATGGATGCCATTCCAATAGAACTCTGGCGGCAGCGCTAAGAAAAAGTTGGCCAAATCGGTTTTCAGGTCGTCTTGGTTGGCGTACTGCTTTCCACCCATGTGACGGTCCAGGGCAACGAAAAGGTGACAATCGGAATGGGCAAAGGTCGGGGCTGTAGGGCGGATGCGGCAGCACCTCCCAGCACAGGTCCAGTAACTTTAGATGAGTCTGTCTAGCGGTGTGCGGCCGGGCATCGTCGTGGAGGAGGATGGTTCTCTGTCTTTCTGGGCGTGTTTCAGCCAGTTTCTGCTGCAGCCGATCGAGTTGCTGGCAGTAGTAGGCAGCAGTGATGGTGGTGTTTTGCGGCAACAGCTCAAACATGATGATGCCTTTCGAATCCCAGAAGACCGAGAGCATAATCTTTTTGGGGTGCAACTCCTGACGGGGTTCTCTTTCGGCCGATGCTCCGGCGTCCACCCACTGACGTTTTCGTCGAATGTTGGCATAGAAGGTCCACTTTTCGTCGCCTGTCACCACTGAGTCTAGCCAATCCGTTCGGCGCGAACGTGACAGAAGGGAGATGGCCATGTCTACTCGTCGCTGGCGGTCCCGATCATCCAGCTTGTGGGGTACCCAGCACCCCAACTTTGCCTTCTTGCCAAGCTCAGCCAGATGATGAAGGATAGTTGTATGGGAGACACCCAGCAAGTCCGCAAGCTCTCGCGATGTTTGCCGGTTGTTGGCCTCCAGTGCCTCCTGCAAGGCAGAGTTATCAAACTCCGAAGGACGACCGGTGCGTGGCTGGTCTTCCAGGCTTTCATTTCCTTTCTGGAAGCGACTGTACCAATCATAGGCAGTGCTCTTGGACACAGTGTCCGGGCCAAACGCGGTATTGATGTCAGCGATGGAATTGGCTGCCTTCTTCTTGATTCGGAAGTCATAAAGAAGAAGCAGGCGAACTTGCTCCTTAGTAAGAGGGTAGGGCTGGTTCATGGCTGGAGAGCACCAGGGCTGTAATAATATACGGTTGTATGCCGAAGGACACGACCTACTTATAAACACACGCAGAACATTCTAGCATGCTCTGGAAAAAAATTGTACTGGATATTCAAGAAATTCCGAGAACTTTCTTTCCAATCAGATACTAACTTCCACTTCATTTGGCTTAGATTTGGCGATTCAAATGACTCAGTATCGAATTCTTCGGCAAAAATGCTCAAATAAGGCAACTGCCGTGAAACTTTTTTTTTAACTCAAGGAAGGGCCAAACAGCCATGTGATTTCTAATTAAGCAGACGTGATATCCCTGCAGTGACGTGATATTCCTTTGATCCTTTCATGAGAGAACTGGAGAGTCCCATGGACGACAATGGCCGTGTAACGGAGGATCTCCATGTCCATCAATCATGAACTTTTCTCTTGGTTTTCATCCCTTTTCCCATATATTGAATAGTTTAATCTTTTTCCTTGTTAAACAAATGTGATTGGAATTGGACTACAAATTATGTCTCAAGATTGGAAGGCATTGCGGTATATGACTTTGCGTAGGCTCGGGAGCGACACTGGTTCCACCATTTTGTGATTCTCTCCAGGGAGCATGCATGCATGATATCACATGGACCGATGAAATCCTGGAACCATGCATTGGTGAAAACGGACTAGTACCACCATACCAGGTCTGTTAGAGAAACTTTATTTCACTGAGTTAAAGCGTGGTCAAATGCGAAAATAGTTTCTAATAATGAGTTCTAATGGGTACCAATAACACATTAGGGAAACTATTTCACTGCATTCACTTATTCAGGAGATAGAAGGTGAGGTTCACATCCACCCTTTCCCATGTCTATTAGGCAAATTGAAGTCGGAAGTTATGGACACGTCACTGGTGGGTTGTCGTATGCATAGAGCTCGTTCCATTGTTGCATATTCCTGAAGGTGTATCACCTTCACCAAGCCATGGCGCCGAAAGAAAACAGCAAACATACTTTTTCCAATCGTCCCTCTGCAGCAAATCTCCTTTGGAGGCTCCTCTTCTGGAAGCACCAAAGATGAGGATCATCGTTTTTATTCTGAATCATAGTAATGCATTCAGGTTTTTTTTACCTGTCACGATATCAGAAATAGTTTTAGGCTGTCTTGATTTATACTTTTGAAGCATGAAACGACGCCAACCAAGCCTGGCCACTTTCTGGGCCTCTGTCATATTGTGGGGTATCTAACGACAGAAGAGGTCCCACAACCCAGATGATCATGAATGATGACATTTACTGTGGCCAATCCAATGTTAAGAGTGTCTTGACCCTTTCGGTACTATTGATGAGGACCGGCTATCACCCGTTTCTCTGCATGGTCATCATTCGCTGGGGTAAAAGTTTCTCCTGAACTTGCAGAAAGCGTTTAGTGAAAAACTGAAACTCCCTCCGACGAAATTCACAAAAACCAAATTTGACAGTGGAATATGATCCAAAATATTCCCCAAAAATCACCACGAAGACAATCCTGTGACAACCCTGTGTGCTCCCAGAAAAACACATGCAAAAAACAAATAGATAATGATAAGAAAATGCTCTCTTGTCAGTTCCAATTCCATTTATTATAAAATTTTAGCTCCAAAAGTTTCACACAATGTTTCATTTCAAGAAATTACCGTAATAACTTAAAAGTTGACCTACGACGAGAATTTTTGCTACATTAACACATACTGCAAAAACTTTCACAAAATACGTAACCATGTGAGGCCAGAAACTTTTAGAGAAACCCTTGTTTGGGTCATGGGTCATGGACATCTCTCGTTCGGAAAAAAATTGTTATATTAAAATTATCGAATCTCCCTAACGATAACTAACTTCCACATTCATTAATATGCTTCCCCTTTGATGGCATCGCCATCGCAGGATAAGGTGATGAACAATAGTCCATCTGGAGTGTACAATGTGTAAAATGGAGATTCCAAAATTTAACAAAAATCTGAGGGTTTAATAAACGCAACCAGCACCAATATGAATTCCGAGGACCACATCAAACTATTCATTCCTCCAATAAACCCGATAGAATAATAAAAATACTGCATTTCTCGTTTTCATTGATAGCGGCTTATTGTTATCGACTGTTTAATATTGTGGAATTCCTTATTACAATGTGTGATCACAATAAGCATTCTACAGCATTCCTGGCGATTTTTAACTCGTAGCAATGCCTGTGGAATGTTTTCGGGAGCAGTCCGGCTAGCACGATCGAGATTCTCTTGACTCCAGAGGATTTCGGGGATTTCTCAAATAGATCATTGGTTTTGAGGATTGGCTTTGGCTACAAGGATGACTTCCCATCGGGACCTGATGAAACAGTCCTGGCTAGATTTGACTCCCCTGTCTCGGAGAACACAACTGTGATCGTGGAGGGCGGAGAAGCCTGGGTGGACGTGCTCACCCGACAAGAAATAGTCCCTTTTCGAATCTTCTCTACTATTAAAAACGAAGGTATATTTTCCTCTCTCTCTCCCTCTATCCGCACTATTTTGGTTCTCTCCCAAGGTAAAGCCTTGCTGTAAGGATTGCTGTGCGATACAGGCGCCAAGCTTTCCCGGTGACTTAAAGCTCTTAAAACTCCCGTCTAAAGGGTCTCATTATAGGTGTCAATGAACACGGACACTTCATCCTCATCACTATATTCGAAACAGATTCATGAAGGCCAAGAAAAGAAAAAGCTCTTATTCCCAAAAAGAACCCTCTCCTAGAACTCGTCGATTGCACCCCGTAGGACAATAAAAACGATGGTAGAGAGTCAGATCTCAATCCTTCATACCCTCACCCAGAAAACTAGGTGAGGAAAAGGACTGATTTCGTGGACACTCCATAGAACATGACGGTCGGACCTCTTCCTGCAATGTGCCATACATAGCACATCCAGGGGAAGATCACCTCCAAAAATGTACTATGCCTCCTGCCTATACATGATACAGATACTGTATTATGCATGGGTGGGGATTCTACCAGTACTGGCTTTGTCCTGTTGATGGGAATGTCTGGGTTGAGAGGTAAAGAATATGGCACGGAATGAAAAAATGAAGAATTCAGTATTGGTCGAATATCGGTCCAGTTTAGGACCAGTGAAGCCTATGCTTTTCCATAATGTCAATATAGGCCATGATTAGGTGCCCAGTGAAGCAACGTTTTTAATCAACATTCCAGCAACATAAATCCTGAAACGTTTCTGCAATATGAAATGAATAAGTAATGATTTGCAATGCAATGTTCCTTCGCAACATGTGAACAACGTTGACGTTTTGGACATTTACACAGAAGCAACATTGTTCATCAACATTTCCAAAACGTTGCTGGAACATCTTGTGTTACTTGGGTATACGTCACTCCTAAAATGCAAATGTTCGTAATTCATCCAAGGCAATTAGCGTCTCTCATAACTGCTCCTTCAGGCATCGCGAGCTTGTGAACGTGGCGAGACCCGTTGGGTACAAATCTCCAGGCTAGGAAGTGCTTTTCCTGGATTGGTAGTGGTTAGGTTAGTGGTTAGTAAGGGCAAAATGCAGCAAAAAATTGAAGGGAAAGACTTGCCCCCATAGCCATTATATTCAAAGCCTCTTCACCGTGTTCCATCCTTTTTACCATCCACAGCCTTTACGACGACGACAACGACGACCAACCCGTGTGAGGGAGCCATTGGGGATCCTTGCCAGGAACATCAGGACTGCCGTGTGAACGAACACCTTTTCTGCAATCCTTCCCTTCTCAAGTGTGACTGTGCCGATGGATACATTTTTGACACAGATATCCTCATGTGCGGTAAGGATTCCTTGCCCTGTCCTAAATTTGAAAAATAAATTGTGGCCCTAGAACTCTAAAACCTACTATGGTTGTGGAAAAGTTGGTAATATGTAAAATTAGGGACGAATATGCATAATTGCCATACTGAAATGATCGATTCATAGTGACTGGAGGGAAAAGATTGGGCGAATCGTGTTCGGACGATAGCGACTGCAACCTCTACAACCAGTGCGACAAGGAAACAAAAATTTGCACATGTGCAAAGGGCTATCGTCTGGATCCAAAGACCATCCTTTCTGGTGAGTGCAAACATACTTTACACTATACAGGGTGTTAAGAAAGTTGTGTCCCATCACAATATGCCTATTACCTCAGCAAAAATGTGAAAATCAGGAAATGTTTTTAATATACAATAACAAGGACAGTTAACTGATTTAGAATCACTTAATAGTTTTAAATATAGCCGCCCTTGGCACGGATGACAAGGTTCA